ACAAGGAGAGATTCTTTTATCCCCCACAGTAAGCAGCGATATATAGCAATGAAATGAATTCATTCGTTACGGATGCGAGACCTTAGCAATTAGATTCTGAGAAAATTGAAAGGCTCAACTCGAGCAGAATAACTCTAGGCACACATTTAGGCTATAGTGTCTGACAGTAAGCTAATGTCAAGCATTATCTAAAAGTCGACTTAGAAACAAAACAGGGAACACAATTTAGTAAGATATCTATTAAATATGTTGCAAAAGCTGTTCGCACTATTCTACATAGACGGCCTTCCGAATTCAGGTCTAACTAGGTTATATTGCGTGTTAGCCATAGACCCTGTAGTGAACATCATTCCAAGAGCAATAGACGTCATGACCTCAAAACCTCAAATGCGTGATACAAGGACATAATGGTCCAAGCATCCAATGGCGGACCTGCATTGCATGAGCGCGAATGGTTCGACAGGACGTTTCCTGCAAAGTCCCAACGGAGACTTCCTGTATAAGCAGACAGACGTTTTACAACGTTTGGGCGTAAAAAACTTGGGTGATACCCAACTGTAGCTCAGATTGGTTACGTGAAAATCGTAATTACTGGGCGGGCGGTTAAAGGAAAAGAAAGACCAAACAATAGAAACCACTATACTGAACAGGGTTCTGGTATAATCCTTGCTACTACTCGTAACTGCTAAGGACGTCGTGCATTTAGTGGCTCTATCCGATGCCTAAAATGACTCGTGCAATGATCAGAGTATGGAAAATGCAATTTGTCTGCGGTACTGTTCCTCACACTTGGCTCTTTCGTTATTGTAACGTATTTACCGGTGGTCGGCGCTGCCCGATGCTACTCAACTTGTTTGCCTCGATGGACTTTTGAACGAACAACGTCAGCAGAAGACCGCATACGTGGGTTTTTAACCCTATCCGAACCCGAATCTGGTCGTGGAGATACTTTGTTTCGTCAGCGTTAGCGATATGATTTGATTTAGTGTGTGACGCAATAACACTGAACGTGAAACCCAAAAGATCTCATCCAGAACGTACGAGCGCCATTCATCTTCATACGATAAAACTTTATATTACAGGAAGGTTTTTCATTCCAAAACGATCACACTAAAAACGGGTAAAAAAAAAATCAAAATTTCATGCTTGGTATTGGTTACTTGTCGTAGAGTAACGAATGCGATATATATATAGATATTAGTACTGTTATTGCTATCATAAACGGAATCGTCATTACGTCTTCAGGCATAAAGCTAATTGTTTGCATCTCAAAACTGTAAAAATAGAATTGTCATGGGGTGATGGCCATATAAAATAGAAACGTTCCTACGTAATAACGGCGGCGGCCGTGGATGAAAAGTAAATCTTTCCGTGTTAATATCATTTGCTAACTAAACGTTGAGGCCTGTTTGTTTTCGAAAGGTATGTACGGTCCATAGAGTGCCCAGGTAGTCAGTCATCTTATATGAGACGGTATAAACGTTCAGGCTGGTTTTGACACGTGGTCGATAAAAATATTGGTTTATATTCTATTATTTGTCATAGATAGTTGCACTGTCGGATGCTGGTTACCCTGCAGTCGAAGTCGCAGAAAAATATGAGAGAAGGTCAATTGTGACTTTTACGCAAATCCTCTTTCATCGAATACGGCCGACTGTCACGTGTGTAGAGTAGTCGATTTCCGTCATAAATTTTCTCCATTCGTCTCGAAATTTTTGACGATAATTTCCGAACGCTTTCGTGCGCGTCTCCGTATAACTCTTGATCTAATCTGGTACCAATCAAATTCGCTCTATAGATAATGTTTGCAGCCGTTATTCGCACCGCTCCTACCCTGGGACCCTCCACGGGCCCCGTACGTTTCTGTACACGTCGTTAGCGAAATGCGTTCTTCATGCCAGCCATACAATGTCGTCATGGGTCCTCAACAATTTTGCTCGATTCAAGATAACCGGGTTCTTGTTCATTCTATTGCTTACTTGCGTTTTCGTCTAATTGCGGGCGTACTTGACGCCCGAAGCTTCGCCGTCACAAGTCCAACTTCAACAAATACGTACTCCAGTGCGTTCCGCAGCGGACCTCGCTGTTTGGTCATTTTTCTATCACATATCTGTTATGACCGTCTTCTGGTAAACTGGCCGTTTCTAGGTATATCATATTCGTTAACTGACGCTTTTGCCCCCCTTCCCGGTAGCTAGAACCGGATAGCTAGTGGATTCTTTCTGACTAATTTCTTTTGGTAAACATGCGAAACCGGGTTGGATCATTGAAGTCGAGGGGGTCCGGCCGGAATCTGTCATAGGCATTTGGCCGTGCAGTGCCACCGTCATCTGTTGGTTGATATCATTTGGCGACGTTGCATCACGCTTCACCTCACCATGATTCGTTGACATCAACGCTAATTTTTGGTGGTTAACTATCTTACCATGCGTGATGCTGATTTCGCTATAAGTAATTCGTAGCGGTACCTATTTTGTCAATTCAATTTAATGTTGTTGTTGCTTCGTGCCTGTTGCTATGAGGTCTACTGCCGCTGCCCCCTCTGCTTTTTCTTCGCTGTGACTTTACGCTACGATTCCGGCCTGCCGTTGCCGGTGTGGCGATCGCGGCTGCGGTGAATCTCGCCTTTCTTTCGTGTACTTTCTTCATTTTCATCAGCTTCGGCCCTCCGTCAACAACGTTGTCCCGATTCGCCTTTGACGTGGCTGCCGTCATCAGCGTCTGGCCCAGCTACATCTTCGGTGAAGCGGTCAGCCCCTGTTACAAACGGATGCATACTCAGCCACGTAGGTCGTCGTCAGTCTCACTGCGGCGGACTTCAGCGTCGACGACTTCGTTCGCCGCTGATGCCGTTATTTGTTCTAGCTTTACCAGCTCCGCCATCTGTCGGATGGTTCGCCGCTTTCTCTGTCGGTCGAGTCAGCATTGAGGTAACATCGTCTCGTTACAGGAGAATCTTGCTTCACCATTTCTACCCTCAGCATATCTGGCGTTTTTGTGTTTTTCGTAACCAAGCGTAAGAAAGTTAAATTAAAAAAGCCACGACAGCTACTCTGCCTGCCTGCCTGCCTGCCTGCCTGCCTGTCTATCTGCGTGAGGAAATAACAGCAGCACCAGCAGGAGCGTCGAGGAGGGCTGCAGAGCTCCGCGTTACAGCCCTCCCCCGTCACAGCGGCGGTCCGTTTTCCACAACGCGCTAGTCTCGTAGAAGTGTTGCCGCGTGGTCATGTCGCTTCGGTCTCAGTTCAACATCAGCAGAATTAGCGGAGCTGAAGCAGCGTGCGAGACAAAGAAACGAACCGGGAAAAAGGAGTTGAGGAACAAGAAAAAGACGAGATAGGCGGAGAAAAAGATCTTTCCTCAGGAAGGAGTTGTTTGTAGCTTCGTCAATACTGTGCTACTGCAGCTGCTGCTTTGGCTGCTACTATGAGACACCAGGAAAATCTTGACTGTCATCGATCGATTGGTTCGGCAATTGTTTCTCCTCTTGCTGCTGCCGGAGATCTAAGCGCATGTGAGCAATAACTTGGCTATAGTGGCAGTGAAGCTGGACTCCGGTAGTATTACATGAGGCCGGTCACCTTGACGTCAGTGCCCAGCTGGAGCAGCGTCCGACATTGATGTCCATCATTGAACGCTGACGCTGTCGAAGCCATTGGCACTTGCTGAGAGTGAGACGGAGGGGATCGGAACAACACAGCGACAGGGTCCGCTTTTGTATGACTCGATGGATATCAAGCGGAATCGGTCTTTCGAGTTGCTTATCCATTGACTTCACAGCCAATCAGTCAGTCAGTCAGTCAGTAGCAACGTTTGAATCCACAATATTTGGCGAATCCGATGCCGTGAAGAGCCTCTGTGTCGCTAACAATGTTGTTTTGGCTCACGGCCGCGCTATAGCGACGGTTGTACGAATAGTCAGCAAAACACAACAGAGTCCCCCGGCAACAGCTCGTCGGCCGGCTTAGTTTGGCGCTTCCCACAGTCGCCGCCGCCGCCGCCGCTGCGACCGCCAAGCCCCGCCTCCGCAGCGATGATGCGAGCGGACTCATGAACGGCACCGTGGCACCGCCTTCGAGTCGCCGCCGCCGCCGCTCCGGGCGTACGCAGCAGCTGCCGCGCCTGCTGTCACCTTGGCTGTGTTAGACTGGCTATCGCGTGTTTCGTCCTGCTGCCAGTTTCTATCGTAGAGATAAGATGTCTGTCGATTTGTCTATGGGAGCGCGTATGCGAGTGTATGTGTAAGGGCGTCTCTGTGTGTATTAGCGTGCCCTAAGAGTTTCTATCTGTCGTTGATTCCCTGCTATCAGTTCGTTATTCTCTCGTCAACGTTGTCGCTGCTGCTGCTGCTCTGGCTATGGCCAAGGAGTCAGAGGCAGCCGCAGCAGGAACTGGCAGGCCGACAGTACAAACACACGAACAGCAGAAACGGCCGCAAGAAAGCTCCAATCAAAACCCAGCGAAAATCTGGGTCTGTCTACCGTACCCGGGAGCCGATGACTGTGGCTTAAGAAGAGCCAAAAGCCTGCAGCGGCTGCGTGGATCGGCACTGGGCAGAACTCACTAATAAACCGAGATTTGTCTTCGAGAGAGCCTCGTTTCAACCTAACTCAACAACTAATTGAAGAAGAAAACAACGCACAACAGAGGACCCTGTGCAGCGTGAGCCTTCGTCAGTAGAACTCCTACATCTGCGACTGCGGCCGCTGCTGCTGTATCGAGCTTCACTTCGACTGAAATCAGCCGGTAAAACCGTGAATCTCTTCGTCTTCCTGTTTGCCGTTGTCGCCAGTGGAAATGGTCACTTTTACTACTACTGCTGCTGCCGCTGCTGCTGCTGCTGCTGCTGCTAGTGTTGTTGTCGCTCTAGTCATCTGTGCGTCTCTAGAGCGCGCTATTCTCTGAGTCTTTGTGGGTGTGCGAATGAGCGTCTTGCGTTTCGTTGATTAATAGCTGCTCAGTTGTCCTCTCACCCGTACGACCGCCACGGCTACGCCATAGCTGGCACAGCGACGCGATAGCCAAGGGATTTCTTGATCAACCAGCACAGGCGACAGCAGCAGCTACTCGAACTAATATCAGCGTCAACGTTCCTCAACTGTTACATAGATTCACGTTCGTCATCGTCGTCTCTCGAAGTTGCTCCTTTCCTGTACTCTTTCACTCGCTTCCCTCGTTTTGGCCGGCAGTCAGCGAGCGGTCGCCGCGGCGGCGGCGGCGGCGGCGGCAGCAAGCGGCTGGTCGGCGGCGCTGCTGTTGTCTGTCCGTCTGTCTGTCTGTCTGTCAGTAGTAGTCAGTCGTCGGTTCGTAGAGCGGCGCAAACCTCTCTTACAGGCGGAGGGGGGGGTTTGCGGACAAACGGAGAGATTCGCAGCGGTTGCGACTGAGACATGAGCACGCCGCTCTCGATAGACAGTCGAGATCATCATCCGGCGGGAGACGAACTACGGCTAGACAGACTAAATGCCGCACTGTGCCAATCGCCCCGTACATTGTGAGGAGTAGTCGGCAGTAGGAGAACCTTGCATCAGTGTGCTTGCTGTGAGACTACATGGAGACCCAGCAACTTAACCTGCCGTAGACTATTTGGCAGTGCTGGGCCGGCTTGTCACTTCGGCATGCCCAGCATGTGACTGATTCCGTGGCATTAACTGTGTGACTGTAGAGTAACGGCAGAAGTTGGCGAAATCACAAATGAATATTGTTGTCAGCCGGCAAAGAGACAGAAAACGTGGGATTCACGTACAGTCTTCTCTGTACGTGTGCGTGTTGTAGCTTTCTGATAGAGGGGCGGCAGTGGGACTAATGAAAAACTAAAGATCTCGCTCACTGGAAACAGGGTTAGCATCCGATTGTTCGTGTGTGTAAAGTAGAAGTTGCTGGTGGTGGCGAAAAAGATCATTTGGCTAGAGTTAGAGAAAGGTACTGTTGGGGTAACGTTGTCACTAAGTTATTATCAACAACAACAACTGCGAGAGCGACCCTTCGATATCAAAAATCTTCGTCAGCCCTACTGTATATGTGATTATGTTGTAAGCATTTGTCGTGGTGGCGCGAACCGAGCGTGGCTTATAAGTGTACGATGAAAGCTTTTCTCTGTAGAAGAACTAAATGATGATGAAGTTTGCACGGAGACGTTTTTTCACGAAAAAATTTCAGCCAATACCGATAAGCAGTGCCGTAGACAATAGTAGAAATAGCAGCAGCAGCAGCAGCAGCAGTAGCAGTAGCCAAAACGATATTCAATTGTGAAAGTGAGCCTGTTATACGGGCTAATATTTTTCTTCGCTTTTGCAAGGATACTCATTACGGTCTATACAGAACGAAGAACTTCGGAAAAGTTTTGCGGACGTCCGTAAACTAAATACGGCTAGCCGGTTTTCATCCTTCTTCACCGTGCTTGTCCATCGAAGAATTCATGTAACGGTCCACTGTTCTTCTGAAGGCCTCTTGAAGCTCTCACCGCTAGGCTAGGATGTGGCGATCGACTTGTGGATGCGCATCCAACATAACGACGGAAACAATAAAGATTAAAGGAACGAAAATCGCATTTCCTTGGTGTCTGGTCCTATGAAAAACGCATCGAGTGCTTCCGATCTTGTTGTTGTGTGTATAACTTCGTAGACGCTATTCAGTTTGGGGACGTTACAGGAGAACAATTTTTTCGTTAAATAACAGCAAACCATGTACCATCCATCATACTACTCATACGAAATTCCGGAGCCCTATTGGCAGACTGCTACTGCCCATGTTGGAGCACCCACACCGGAGTGGCCCACAGCGCCCACGGGCTCGACTTCTGCTCAACTGCCTTCGCTTGCCTACAATAGCTACTACCCTTACGGCGATTTGCACACCGAAGGAACCTTTACGGAGCTACCCTCCCCCAACCATATCGGTGAGTAGCGAACTAACTATTCAATGCTTAGGTGTGCGGTATAGGAGAACTAATACGACCATTCGATATTTCTCTGACAATTGCAAACATTATTATTATCTATGCGGAACATGAGTACATGGACTATGGAAGCCTTTCGTAGGATCGAAGAGACTAAAAACAGGCGATCGAGGCACGTGCAAGCAAACCTTGAAAGTTGAGTTTATGCAACTTTGCAATGAGAGCGATGCTAGGAGTAGGTAGGCTTCTACGCGTAAATTATGTCCGCTCGCTACTCTAACACAACGATATACGATACGTCTGCAAGGTCGTTTTTGAGTGGCTCAAGCCAACAGAAACTGAAGTATGACGTCCTTGCCAAAAAGTGAAACACCTGACTTCGTTTAAGATTTAGAACAGACCTGTAAAACTTCCTGGTTCATCCAATGCACATATAGTTTTAGAGAGACAAAAAAAATTACTTGATTTGTTCCACTCTGTACGTTGCTACTGTTGGCAGACTGACGGGAGCCTCGTGAAGGTCAGACGTGAGGGCCTACGAGGTTAGAAGTCGCATAACTCACTAATTTCTTCTGAGTCATCGTCGAAGAGATAAGCTGTTACCGATGCAAGCCTGAATTCATTGAAATGCGTAGAAACCATTCGGCCAGAGGTGACACACATAAAGGGAAAGATTCATGTTCCCTTTCAGCCATTAGTTCACGAAACAGCGCCCTTGTAACTTGCTTCCTTGTAGTACCGAGCACATAGAGCATATCTACAACTGTTTCCCTCTATCCGTCGTACCGATTCGCCCTTTGCTGACATCATCAATTTAATCCACTAGCGTTCAGTAAGGATCCGCTACCTCCGTGAAGGCTCCAGTAGCTGTTTTATCGCGCAGATCGATTCACTCTTAATTGGAGTGCAAGGTCGCTGGTCACACCTACATATGTACATGTACCTTAGAGCTGACGGGTAGAGGGTGGTCGAAAGTCACCTAATGCTATAACATTTAAATATGACGAGACTGTATCGAGGGTACAAAAAAAAAATTAAAAAAAAACATGCGGACACTTTCGAAGAAGCGGTTCTATGCGCTGCGTTCAGATTGCAGTATCCCAAAAATCAATTTTTATTCGACCATAACTGATTGAAGGCAGGTCTTGGATCCTTTTTTTCCTAATTATATAGAGACAATAGATAAATATCCTCTAAGAGATATGGTCTTAATTATCGATTGCCTCAGTAATACATGGTCGCCAATGCAAAGGATAGCACCGATTTCGACAACGACAATCTTTGTTGAAGATCTATTAATCCTGCACATCATTTCTACATCTATATTATTACAAATGCTCTGAAAAGCAAATATACGTCTGACTTATCTATGGCCCGACGCTGCTATATTTGTAGTCTTTACGAACGGGTAGAAATAGCTTGCATCAAACGATGCATCGTATGGCTGGTACCACGTCGTTATCGGACGATAATCCCATTTTTTATGCGGTCTAGCCGGCGACCAGCGTCTGGAATCGAAGTGTAGCAAAATCTTTCCGGGCACGTGCCGTGATTTCCAACTATATCAGGGAGAGACTCTCATTGCATAGAACACAGCCCCTTGCTGTCTTAATTGAAACTATTCGTTCTAACAGAATATTGAATACATATATATATACAATGTGACAAACAAAGTCATCAAAACCGTTACTGATATCATCTCTATAGAACGACACCAAAAACAAGCGCTGAAGCTAGCTGAAGAACCCATTCCTAATGACACAAGAGTAGATAGTAGCTGTTCGTAAACATCTTTTGGAATTGCTATGCGCTGGGGTCTCAAGACGATGCCCAGTGTTTTGCAAAGGTCATAGGACTACGCAAGTGTACACTAGAAGTTCGAAAAACATCTTCGCTGAACGACTTCGTGGTTTAAACATTCTTAAGGAGTGGCGTACACTCAATCTAAATATTTTGCTTTTCTTTATCTTGAGTACTATAAGGCTAAACTAGGAACTGACTCTTCTGAGTCAGTTCCTGTTACAAACTAGCGCACTCTTCTATATAGTATTGTGAAACAAAACGTGATAGCACATTGTAAGCTGGGAGGCGTTGGAGACGGCAATGCAGGAATTTTAATAGCTCGTTAAGCAAAAATGTGTGAATTATGGAACAAAAAGTAAGTCCGGTGAAGGCCGGTATGTGTGAATCAATGACCAGCGCCTAAAATTCCAGATGTAAAATCTGAAGCGCTCATTGTATTTAAATCCAGTGATATAGCTAATATCAGATACGAAATTCTTCCAGATACAAGTTTGGACGGCATGTTACTAATCATAGAAGACTCTTAATGGGGTTCCGCCACCTGCTCACGGATCGGAATGCATACCCCCGTTTCGAGTACTTGATCCGTGTAAAATCTGTCTACTTGCCTCGATCGGTCCCGATTGGAACAATTTCGTAACGCGCCCTTGCAAACAGCTCCCCCATCGTTTAACGGCCCTCTCTTCTATTCATAATGATCTCAAATCGAAGGTAATATTACTTACCGATCCAGCAGCTACATATAGACTGGCTATATATGTTTATAGGCTGATGTCTATGGCATTCGAGAATTCCCACGTCGTTTAATATCCATCCACCTGATCCTCGCCCTTCGTCGGTCCTCGTGAATTCCCTCAGCAACTTCACAATGACCTTGTTGAGAAATTAATCGCCGACGAGTTGGCTGCCACCTTACCGGTGTCCTCGAACGACGTAGTTGCTTGCGCCACCTTCAACCTCCCATAATACTCCCATAATATGCCTGTCAAGCCCACTGCCTGTGGTAGAAGTCGTAATAGTATCGCTAGAACGCGACACTTCGCTCACTTACTTGTTGTACTACTGGGCCGCCGCTGCTGCTATTGTTATTGTGTTATAGTTCTCGTCACCAGCGCCGCCTGATCGGCCGGCGGCGCTCGACGATTTTATAGCAATATGCAGCAGCAGCCGCCGGGGCGCAGGAGCAACAGCAGCGGCCGTAGAAAAGAGGCGGTGAAAGCGGTAAACCGCTATTCGGTAGTAAAATAACACATCAGCACGGTGGCGTAGGCATCAGCTCCGCTACCACTGGCCCGCCGCCGCTAGAGCCCGTGAAGCTTCAGAACGGCTGACATAGTCTCTAGCGGTCGAGACTCGTCTCTCGATAGCCTAAGCATTGCCTCGCGACTCGGTCTCTTGTCTGCTGGCTGGGTCAGGAACGCGGTGCCTCGGGTGAGCGTGACACCGCCGGAGGACACTGACACATGCCTCTCTCTTTCGATTGGCCTCTACATATATCCCTTTGAGTGGCATCGGGTAGGAGCGCCACCACCCCTTCAGCTGGAGCTGGATCTGCCGGGCCCATTCCCGCGCAGCAGTTCGTCTTTTCTAGAGTTTTGGTGTAGCCTTAAGACACATACAGATAGATTGTCGTACGTGGAACGCGGGCTAGGGAAAAGAGTGCCGCAGTTTGCTAGGGACTAGCGGGAGGACTATAGGGTTTTTCCTATCAGTCCTTATGGCTGGTTCGTTCACTCTTCCACTACCTCATGCTTCGTCTTTGTGCTAGCGCGCCAGCGTCAGGTCCCCTATATGTAGATCACATTCCTTCATCATAGATGCGCCACGCTATGAGTCCTTCCCCGTAGCGTGGCAGCAAAGGGAGCAGAACAAACCATGAGCAAGGAACTTCTTCAGGCGCCAGCCTGTGGCTCCAGTACAAGACTTTTCCTTCCGACCGAGATCTTCTATCTTCGTTTTCTCTCGCCTGCTCACTCCGTTCCACCGCGCACTTTCTTCTGACGATAAAATGCCCATAAAGCAGACCAAGCGAGGTGGCGTTGTGAGTGGAACCTGCATGGCAGTCGCGGACGTTTGCTTCGTGTGGTGCTGCCTGCCTTCGCAGACCCACATGGATACTGCTAGTAGTAGTGGGACCAGAGGCTTGCCCACAGGAGCAACTGTGGGGCGGCGAACGAGCGTGCCTCTAAGTGTAGTCGGTAGGAACTCCAGAAGGGGGGCCGAAGGGGAAAGTTGGATGGCGAAGAGTCTTCAGGATGAATCATCACCACCCAGACATACAGCCATTTCCTCCCACCTCAGCTCGCCGCCACCCCATTCGGTGGCTGTGTGACCGACCTAGCACACCACTATCCGCATGCCCGTCGGGGCTTACTACATGGACAGAGTGGAGCAAAAAGGCCTTTTGCCCCTACCTTCAGCGCCCTCCTCTTTCCCTTGCACCGCCTAACCTCTCTGTTCTGCACAATCCTCTACAGACAGACACAAGCCTCGACAGACACATAGTCTCGTAGCTCATTTCCCCATAAGCCGACCCTTCGACTACTGCTCCACAGCTCCCGCCCGTTTGCCAACCAGCGCTCCGTTTTCCCCTTTCCCCGACCAGCCAGTCAGCCAGACTATCTATGTGTCTTCTTACTCTGGAGTCAGCCAATGTGCTTCACACGATGTGTTGCCTCACATGTGAGCAGTGGTCGCGGTGGCGCTCCAGTGTTTTGCCTGCCTGCTCTCCAAAGTCTTGCGCAGGCTGCATCTAAACTCATTGCGGGAAATCGCTATGGGAAATAAGGGAGTCGTCTGGTAGGGTCATAGTTTTGGTAGTCTGACGAGGACGGACGCGACGAGCAGCACGAGAACGAACCAACGAACAGCCAACGCTAGGAACGATGAAGGAATTAGGGTAGACTGGGTTGAAGAGGGAGACCGGCCAGTACGGGGGTTGAGGGAGCCTGTGGCTGCTCTGCTGCACTGCTATGGCTGCTACTGCTGCTTGTGCTGGCAGCGGTAGGTGGGCGCGCACTTCAAAGCTCTTGTTCCTGCCGACTGGAGGTTTAGGTCGGTCGCTTCAAAGGATCGCTCGTTCGTTCGCTCGTGTGTGTGGGCGAAATTTTCGGGGGGTTTCTGGGTCTGTCAGTAAGTGGGGCCAGCAAAATGAGCGAACACAGAAAGAGAGTGGCACAAAAGGGGGCCGCAAGCAC